GTAGGCTTCCCTGAAGAGGTGGGTTTTCAGGGTGTGCCTAAAGGAGAGGAGAGTAGGTGATAATCTGATGGGTTGTGGCAGGGACTTCCAGAGGATGGGTGACACCATGGAGAAGTCCTGGAGGCGGGCATGGGAGGAGGAGACCAGGGAGCTAGAGAGAAGGAGGTCTTGTGAGGAACGGAGTGTGCGTGCTGGGTGGTACTTGGATATTAAGTCGGTGATGTAGTTCGGAGCAGTATGGTGGACAGCTTTGTACGTCAGTGTTAGGATTTTGAATTTGATCCGTTGCGCAATCGGAAGCCAGTGGAGGGATTGGCAGAGGGGGGTGGCGGAAATGGAGTGGTTGGAAAGGTGAATGAGTCTGGAAGCCGTATTCAGGATCGACTGAAGCGGGGATAGCCAGCGGCGAGGCAGGCCAGTAAGGAGGGAGTTTCAGTAATCAAGTCGTGATATGATGAAGAACTGGATGAGCTGTTTAGTGGTTTCTGGGGTTAGGAATGTGCGTATTTTGGCGATGTTGCGGAGGTGGAGTCTGCATGAGTTTGTTAAAGATTGGACTTGGGGCTGGTAGGATAGGTTGGAGTCCAGAATGACACCAAGTACTCTGGCCTGCGGGGCGGGTTTGATGGTGGTGTTGTTGGACATGATGGAGAAGTGAATGGGGGGTGGGGTCCGGGCTGGGGGGAAGACAAGAAACTAGGTTTTGGAGAGGTTCAGTTTAAGGAAGTGGAACGACATCCAGTGTGATATGTCGCTCAGTAGATGTGTGATTCGGGCGGAGACTGAGGGGGTGAGGTGTGGGGGGTTGAGAGAGAGATTTGTGTGTCGTCGGCATATAGGTGGTAGTTGAAGCCGTGAGAGTGTATGAGTTGGCCAAGGGAGGAGGTGTAGATGGAGAAGAGAAGGGGCCCGAGGACGGAGCCTTGAGGGACCCCAACAGAGAGGGGGAGTGAGGGGGAGGTGGGTAGCATTATAGGTAATGCTGAAAGAGCGTTGTGACAGGTAGGATGAGAGCCAGGAGAGAGCAGAATCTCTGAGGCCGAGGGAGTGTAGTTTTTTTTTGAGGAGGGGGTGGTCGACTATGTCGAAGGCCACGGAGAGGTCAAGGAGTAGGAGCACTGAATAGTGGCCATTAGCTTTGGTGGTTAGCAGGTCGTTGGAGAGTTTGAGTAAGGCAGTTTCGGTGGAGTGTAGGGGACGGAAGCTGGAATGTAGGGGATCGAGGAGGTTGTTGTCATTGAGGTGAGAGCTTAGGCGGGTGTAGACTAGGCGCTCGAGGAGTTTGGATGTGAATGGGAGCAGGGAGATGGGTCTGAGGTTGCTCGGGTCATTGGAGTCCAGGGAGGGCTTTTTAAGTGTAGGGGTGATGTGTGCATGCTTCAGAAGGGAGGGGAAAGTGCCGGAGGAGAGGGAGAGATTAAAGATGTGGGTGAGGGAGCATAGGATGGAGGGGGAAGGAGGTTGTAGGAGTTGTGAGGGGATAGGGTCGAGGGGGCAGGTGGTGAGGCGGGCATCAGAGAGGACCTTGGAGACTTCCTCGATGGTAGTAAGGTCAAAGGTGTGGAGTGTTGAGGGGGCTTCAGTATGAGGAATGTAGGGTGGGGTGGAAGTGGAGGTCAGAGCAGTGGTGGGGCCGTGGGACAGGGGTGATGAGGGGGGGTAGCTGAGTGAGGGGGAACAGGGTTGGAGGGAGTTTGAGCAGTGACAAAGTCCCTGCGGGTTATGTCGAGGGAGAGGGGGGTGAGGGGGTAGCTGTGTGAGAGGGGGGCGGGTTGAGAGGGAGTGTGAGTTGCGGCGATGTCCTTGCGAATTGTGTCAATCTTGTTTTTGAAGTGATTGGCAATCTCAAGGGCGGTGAGTGAAGTGCTGGGTGGAGGTGGGGGTGGAGAGAGTAGAGAGTTGAAGGTGGAAACCCACTTGATCTTTAGCAATTAAGGTAGGGATTACCACATTCAATCTATTGGCCAGAGTTTTAGTCAGAATTTTAATGTCCACATTTAACAGAGAAATAGGGTGGTATTTCAACCATGATCGCTGATCTCTCCCCGGTTTATGAATCATCACAATCTGAACCTTCAGCATTTCCGGGGCCAGCTGACCATCCCACTTAAGCTGATTGAATACCTGGGCCAAAACAGAAACTACAACATCGCTAAATTTTTTATAAAAGAGAGCCGTAAAACCATCTATGCCAGCACGCTTATGCACCTTCAAAGAGTGAATGGTCTGCTGAAGTTTGTCCTGTGTAATATCAGTGCCCAGCATGTCTCTTTGATCGTCTGTTATATGAGGTAAAGGAGTCTTCCCAAAGAATGTGTCAATGACATCTGCTGGGGCATCCCCCGAGCCAGCATAAAGTTTTGAAAGATGATCAGAAAACTCATCCACTATATGCCTGGGATTAGAAGTTCTCAGACACTTCTTAGTTTTCAAAGTATAGTGATGTCATGGAGGGGCGACTGATCGCCACTTATTAGCTGACATAGTCCCTATCTTGTTGCCATTCGCATAAAACTTCTGATGAGACCATCGCAAATGGTGCTCAGCCTCATCAGTCAGACAAAGATTGAGATCTGTGCGGAGACAATCCACCTTCCATGGGAGTTCAGCCATTGGGGACCACTTAAACAGCACGGTAACCCTTTCAAGCTCACGGTCCAAAGCTGTCAATGATGATCCCATTCCTTATGCTGCCTGGAAGCCAATTGTATGATATGGCCTCTAATAACCGCTTTATATGCTTCTCAAAGAGTAACTGACAAAGAGACCATTCCCAAATTATTCCAAAAGTAATCCAAGGAATGGATCAGAACATCCTCAACTACAGAGGAAAAAGAGGGAATCATTACGATACCAGGAGGGAGCTCGTGGACACTGAGAGGAAACTGAACACTGCGTGATAATGGGATCATGGTCAGACCAGGAACCGTAAGAATCCTTGTCAAGAATAAATGCAGGAGAAAAGAAGGGGTCAGAAAAATGTCAATACGAGAATGGCTAGAATGAGGGTTGGAGAAACAGGTGTAATCTCTAGAAGTGGGATGTAATTCCCTCTAGGCATCAAACAGACTATGGGACCTAGGAATATGCCCAAACTCCACAGAGAGAGGAGAGGAGGCCGCTGAGCCCACAGGAGATTTATCTAGTAGAATACCTACAATTATAAATAAGGGCCCTGGGGGTCCGCAACTACTTTGTGCTCTTGGAAAGGCAAGGAATCGCCAAAAGGACCCCCTGCTTCTTGACCGGAGCCGAGGTGAAAAAGACCTGGGCATAATGACCATCTAAAAAAACGCGGGGTATAAGAGGAAGCCAGGTGAGTCTCCTGCAGGGAAGCTATATCGACTTTGGAGGAACCAAGATACTTAAAAACTTTAGTCCGTTTCTGCGGTGAGTTCAAACCTTGAACATTAAGTGACAACCAAGTGAGAATCATTGCAACAGACAAAAATCACTCGACCATGGGGACGCCCCGAAAACATATCCTCTACTCCCCCCAAGGCGAACAGAAAAAAGAGAAAAAAAGAAAGCTAGAAAAAGGGCTACCACCAAGACGGAGGGAACCAGAGAAGAAGAGAGATAACTTTGTACACTAATGGGAGAAAAAGAAAAAAACAGAAACACTCATTGAATGCCACAAAGAGTAAGAGCGATGCACAACGTGTATCCAATGGAACCCACAGGGCACAAAAAAACATACCCCACATCAGGGAACAAGAGAGGGTGGCATGTAGAATCCCAGACAGGCTCCCCCCCCTGCACATATCAAACTATATACATAACTCTCAAAGGAAGAGGAAAACAGCCACATATAGGGAAACCAGACACATGAGGATGAAATAAAAAGACACAATAACAATAATAATGGCAATAATAATGGCAACATCTTTTCAAGGGGAGACATGACGTCAACAGGGGGTCAGACAATATCGCCCAGTCACAAACACACATGGCAAACAGTGAGCAAATGAATGGGCAGAACAACACACCATATCTCAGTAATGATCTGGAAGGGTCGCCCGCCCCCATGAGTTGGCCTCACGTAACACTAGAGACAGAGAACCAACTATTTTTCCAGGCTGAGACCACAAGCCCTCCGCCCCACCTAGAGAAGGACACAGGAGGCCAAAAGTCAACTGACGCATACCCAATTGGGCTCAATGCGACTATCAACTCGGAGGCCCCCAAAACAAATAAACTGGTATAACATCACCCGAACCAACCCAATTGTGGGATTTGATCTGAGTAGAGAGAGAAAAAAAAACCCAGAAAAACAAACCACCACTCCCTCCCCCACCATCCTAGCACCTGCAGAAAATCAAAGGGGAAGGCCCACCCAGCTACTAAACTTCCAAAAAGAGGCCACTGGGACTTGAAAAAGAGAAACAAGGACTTTTGTACTCACCATAAAATCTTTTTCTTTTAATTAATTGCAGGACATAGGTTCCAACCCTCTTTGTTTATGGTCTTGCCCTTGGCACTTGTTTGCTACAAAACCTGAGGCATGTTCAAAGTGGAAGAGGTTATAACAGGCTGGTCACTGTTTTTTGTTTGCCCGTGTCCAAATTCTCCTATAGGCAGCAGTGTAGTCCAAATGTGTCTTAAAATCCTGTAATTGCAGGGATCCTCTGCTGCAGAGAGAAGCAATAAAGAGTTCAGATCTGCCTTCCTCCTTCATGGCTATTAGTGCTCACACAAAATCTTAATGATATTAGCCATAAGGCTCAGCTCACAATACTAACAATTCAGAATAAGTTATTTTCAGCTGAGTCCAATGAGATTTTGAAAAAATAACAATCACATAGTAAAAATAAAAAACCTTGTATTTGTGATAAAGCATTGTGAACTGAATCTATGGTGTTATCAGGATTTCCTATATTTCTGCTGTGTAGAAACGTTGTAGTTGCATTGTAGCCACAGAAGCCTAACAGAATTTTGTGTTTCATGTGGTCAGATGTTTTTTTATGTATGTGTATTCATTTATTCATTTCCTTTATTAGATTCCTTACCTTGAAAAAGACCTTACATCTTTGAAGAGACCATCCAAAAAAGATGTTGCTGAAGTTCTTGATACCTATCAGACAAAGGTATTTGAATACCTCTATATGTATTTATCTGATCTAGTGGCTAGTCTCAATCAAAATGCAAATTAATATTTTAACCACTTTCCGCCCACTCTATAGCAGATTTAGTGCTATAGGGCGGATATTCTGTGCAAAATTGCGTATATAAACGTGAGTTTGCACTTTTGCTGTAGAGGCATGGGTGCACCACTGGAGTGTCACTTCTGCTGTGATTGGACACAAGAGAAACTGATCGACAGGTGCTGGCCAATGGATGAGCGCTGGCACCCGTTAATCATCGAGGAGAGTGACAGGACACAGCTCTGCCTATGTAAACAATGAGTACAGTAGGGAAAGAAAATCATATTGCCTAGTAAAAAACCCCTAACACAGTACACAAAACACATAGCCAGGCACATGGTTAACCCTTTGATCGCTCTAGATGCTTAACCCCTTCCCAGCCAGTGTCTTTAATACAGTGGCAGTGTATATTTTTAGCCGCTGATCACTGTATTAGTGTCACTGGTTCCCACAAAGTGTCAGTTTGTGTCAGACTGTCCGCTGCAATATCGCAATCCCACTATAAGTCACTGATTGCTGCCATTACTAGTATTAAAAAAAATAAAAATTCCAGTATATACTGTACATATACCATAGTTTGTAGATGTTCCACCTTTTTGCTCAAACCAATCAATATACGCTTTTTGGGATTTTTTTTTTACCAAACATATGTAGCAGAATACCTTTTGACCTAAATTTATAAAAAAAATTAGATTTTTTTATTGGATATATTTTATAGTCAAAAATATTGTTTTTTTTGTTTGGTTTTTAATTGCAGTCTATTTTTCATTTATAGCGCAACAAATAAAAAAACCCAGTGATAATCAAAGAAAGCTCTATATGTGGGGGGGGGGGAGGAATAATATAAATTTAATTTATGTAGAGTGTTGCATGACCGCGCAATTGTCAGTTAAAGTAACGGAAAGAGTAAAGTGAAGGAAAAAACGGCCTGGTCATGAAGGAGCTACAGTAAATCTTCTGGAGGTCAAGTGGTTAAATGAAATGAAAAATAAAAATGGAAAGGAGGAATGAAATCTACTCATTCAACATCAAAGTCCAAGGGAATGAGAGAAAAGTAGCAAAAGTATAAACAGGCTTAGAAAAGAAGTATGGGGTTTTTTAAAAAACAAAGAAACATTATACTCATCTCAATTTGGTGCTGCATTTCTCCCTCATTGGCTCTGCACTACACTGAGAACTGAATGATCAAGCACCACTTATTGCACAGTTCTCCCCCTCCACTCTGAGCAGAGAGCAGTGACTGTCAGCTCTCAGTGAAGTATAGCCAAAAAAAATCTTTGGCTATAACTCTCCTTTAAAAAGAGAAGGTGTATGTAGAAAGTTGAGGAGTTACTAAAGGGAAGGGTAGACAGCCTATTTTAAAGAATAAATTTAATTTTAACAATATCACATTATAGCAAGTGCTTGGGCCAGCCTGTGCCCTGTGGAAAAGTCACTAAGGCCATTTAGTCCAATTATTCAGAAACTACTCAAATGAATCGGCAATCAATGCCAGCTTCAGACCAACCCATGTCCTTTTGTTAATTCAGTAGACCTAAAGGCAGTAGGTTTCTTGTATTTTTTAATTTAATGCATTCTATGCATTAAGGTAAAAACCTTCAGACTACAGAAATACTTTAAAAGTTACATTTTTTTTACCTTTAAAACCATTTTCAGTTTAAATTGTCTAAATACAACGTATGTTCAGGGTTCACAAAAACAAGAAGTGTGCAAAGTCTTACAGTTTATTTTCTTTACAAATCAGCTACAGCTTGAGCATGGAGCAAAGTGGGACCCTTTCTCCCTGGAGAAGCATTGAACTCCTGACAAAGGTCCTACACACCACCTGCTTGGACAGAGCCAGAGCTGTCCAATCAGAAGAAGGTATGAGCTTTGCTGATTGAAGAACTATAGGTCTGACTCAGTAAGGGGTGCAGCAAGACCTCTACTTCCCCACCAAAAGCAAATGTTCTCTGCAGCTGCTAGCAGGGGAAAGTTTTTTTCTACAATAACTAATTTTATTTGTTCAACTAGCTGATTGAATGAAACAAATTATCCAATTCCCCCATCTACATATTTGAGGTGATGGGGGGAATCACTCCCACTGTGTATTATGATCTGATGGCACGGAGACTTCTGCTCTGCCAGAATACAATGATCAGTACCGTTGATTTAGTTGTGGACCTAATCGTCCAGTGCTTATCTGTTCCTGTCCTAATTTATGATGCTGGCCAGCTTCTGGAATGTGCGCACATGAAGAAACTCACACTGACACGTTTGGTCTGTGAAAACTTCTCTCTAATTTATTGAAATGAAACCGTGAGTTTATATATGAAAAATGATGCGAACATCACGTGATAACAGCATAAGCATTATATTAGTCTTTGATTGGTCATTTCCACACGAAAACAATCTCCGTCATGGTATAGGTGTGATCTTCTTCCATCTTATCTTATAGAGAAGAAAAACATTCCTTTGTTTCCCAAATCACACGGTGGGAGGGGGTCTGTGTGTGTGAGCAGACATTTCTTAAGCAAGGATTTCTTATAGTACCACAAAGCCCAGCAGGCAGAAAATATTCACACAACATATGTATTAAAGTATAAAAGTAAATATTTATAAAACTTATAGAAATAGCGTATATATATATATATATTAATAGGAAACTAAATAGGCATTTTACCAAATCCATCACACCGTCAGCTATAGCCATCAGCTCTGATTGGGAAAAACCCAACAGGCAGGTTGTGCAGAAGTCGATCAGTGGGTTGACTTATGTACAACCAGCCTGCCCATACATGGATCAAAGTTCGACTGCTCCATGCTGAACTGGTTGAATTTCGATTCATGTATGGCCTCCCAAAGGCATTAACCCACGTTTTGATGCACCTGAAATGTATTTAGCTGATTTACACTGAAGGTTCAGTTAGGCTTCAAACCTTAGAGAAGGTGTTTTTCATACCTTAGCTTAGTGGCGACCTGTTTAATTGTGGTAAAGGTATGACTAAAGAATGTTTAGCTTAAAAGTCTGCTAGATGTTTCCCTAGAGATATACATACATATCCTGAAGAAACTGAGGTTTTCTTGACAGATACATTCTGACATGCAAATTTTGTAACAAAGCATTTTTATGAACATTACAGCTTAGATGTTAAAAGAGAGAAATAGCACGCCCTTCTTGTGCTGTGTTTAAGTGATGTTGACAGAGAGGACTGGATGATATTTTACTTATAACCTACAGACATTTTAACCACCAAAAGAAAGCTATATTTGTGTGAAAGAAAATTATAAAAATTAAAATATTTCTTATGAATACAGTGTTGCATGACCTCGCAATTGTCATTCAAAGTGCAAGCGGAAAATTGGCCTGGACAGGAAGGGGGTAAAAGTGTTCAATAGACAAGTGGTTAATTAGTCACAAAGCCCACTCCAGTTTCTATTTCACTCAAAAATAGAAACTGGCATGGGTGACTCATATAGGGCTAAAACAAATTTATCTGCTTAGTTAAAGTGGTGCACGCCTCTCCAGATTCCTTCACTAGTTTTCTGGCACAGAAAGCTTCGTTAATTCCCTGGAATGTGTTAACTTTTAATTTTAAAGCTGAACTTCTGGAAACAGCTAAATACCCAGATATATTACATATGTGGAAGCTGTTTTACCTGTCAAATTATTTGTATTTCTTTTTCTCCCATCCTGAGATTTACACAACTGTCAGGCAACACAGCAAAGTTTGAGACCTGATTTCTTAACTACAGTAAAGCATTACAGTTTGATCACCTTTCTGCACCCAGCCTGTGGTGATTGTATAAAGAAGAATCTGCAGAAGATTGATGAATCCTCCAACTGCCCTCATAACACTCTTCTGTCAGCATATTCCTTGACAGCACAAGTACATAAAGTAGAGACTGACGGGCTCAGAGCAACTGCCCTCCTACTTCCAGTGCGAGTGCTGCTATTCAGGGGATTACAATTATTTTCAAAATCTATGTAAAGCCATTTTTTTTTGTTTTAGATAGAATAGGAAGGGGTAAACACCAATCGGGTTATTTGTTTCCCACTAAGGAGATTTCCATTAATTTCCTGTTCTGAAGATGCAACAGATTATGAAAGGAAATCGCTGTAAAGTGAACCTAATTCCTGTCTTATAGAGTTGTCATAGGAACAGGTGTCCTACTTTGAAGATTTCTTTTCACCTCTCGCTCTGGTGACAAATCTAAAATTGTGGATTGTGCATCACTTTCTCTCAGTAACAATGGTCACGTTGCAAATAGTGGAACAGGGGTCTAACACTACTTAACTGTATAAAAAACAAAATAAAGTGCCTTTAGTATACATAACTGTACAACATACAGTATTTGTGTTTTTAGTATGTGCATGGAGTCCAGTTTTACATTGTATCTATGGCAAAGATTATGTTTTTAAGTTAAGTTTAGCTAAAACCCCTTTTTGTTATTTTTGTGGGGTTTTTTGCTGTTTGTGCATCATTTGGGGATATTTTCCTTAACTTTCTGTTCCAGAGTCATTACAGCAAGTGAAAAGAAATCTTTCCAAAGTTCATGAAAATCCCTTCTGAGGCAGTTGTCACCAGAACATGTGTCCTTATTGGGACGTTTTCCTTCAACCCCCTTTCTGGTGAAAGCCTTGAGGTGATACTAACCCATGACCTTGTATTCACTATATTTGGTCCCACAGTACACAGAACATGGAGATAATTATTTTATTAAATATAAACTGATAAATACCTTTTCTCATCAGCAGTTAGAGCAGTCTTGTGATTTATATTAGTGTCCAGCAGAGCACTCAATATAGCTAGTTTTCATTCTCCCTTGATTGTCCTATGATGCTGCAGGACCATTGACCCTCTGCCTGGACAGTGTTGATTGGTCCTGTGCTAATCACATGCACTCTCCCAAGAAAAAAAATTCTCTAGCAATACACACCAAATTGAGCATGTGCAGCTTGCCCCCAAAGCTCTGTTCTATCAGCAGGTGGATTGAGGACTGTGCAAGAGGGGGAGGATCAGAGAAGACAGGACCAAATAT